ATGAAACATTACGTTTGCCACGACCTTTTACATCTTTTACTTCAGTTTTATAAACATCCTGGCGCAAAATAGAATTAAGCCGTAAAACACCTTCATTATAGCATGAAAACAATCGTTGAAATCCTATTTCATTCATTTCTTTCGTATCCTTAAATAATATATGAGTTTTAGGATCGTCTAAAGAAAAAGCTATTTGTAACTCAGAGGATAATTCCCACATTTCTTCTTTATGTGATGTAACTCGATCTTTTTGAATTATAATCGTATCCCCTACATACTTGGATATTAACATTGATAAACGTTCTTTTTCATCTTGTACTGATGAAATTTGATGCTTTATTTCTTCACAATTCATGGGCTTTCCTCGAATATATTGCTTAACAAACTTAACACCAAATCGTTCAAGAGCTTCATCTATTCCGAAATAATGACCAGGACGTGTTAAATTAACTGAACAAGCATGCTTAAGTAATTCTTTAATGGATGGATAATCTTCTATATATGATAAAAAATGTACTACAGATTTGGCATAATTTTTTTTTCCAGCAACGGGAAATAATGGTGAAAAGGCAGAAAGATTTTTAAATTGCATTTCAAAGTTTCCTTTTCGAATTCCTATTTTGTGACCGATCCAATAACCAGCCCATTTATAATAATAGTACCATACTTTTAGAACGTTATTATTGCAATTCTCAATATCACTCATTTTCATATTTCTACAAGTTACATATTGACTAATCGCTGCACCTACTGCTATCCATATTAATTCAAGAACACGACATGTTGCCTGATAGTCCACTACCTTTTCTAATTTATCCAAATGTTTAACTCCAAGTTTTGCAGCTAAGTTAAATATTCCATAGCCAGAGAAAATAGTTATTAGTGCACTACACATATCTTTCGAGGTATGCCATTGCCCCAAAAATAATATTACTTTTTCATTTTTTTCTTTATATTTTATTAATCTTCGAAATATGGCTTCATCGGAAGCTATACATAAATGTTCAGTCTTATCCACACCTACATCATTAAAGTACATATCGCAAGCATTGTGAACATCATTATCACAATTTGGATTATCTCCGGGCTGAAGAATAACGACATTCGGTGGTGGAACATTACATCCCATTTCTATATTTTTTGTAATTTCATCAAAAAGTTTATTTTCGTCCCAGTTATTTAACTGAGTTTCCCACAAATTATGAAATGTTTTTTCAAAATTAATAAGCATATTATCGGTAAAATTTGAAGTGCCAAAAATATTCATATTGGTATATTTATTTTTTTCAATTATTGAATTAAAGGGCTTTAATTGGATTGGCAAAATAAACTGAAATACCATTCGAAGAATTGCATGGATAGTATTACGTGATACATTATAAATATTTCCATATGCAAACGTTTTTTCAAAAAAATCTATATTATCTAATACAGCAATGTTCCATATGTAGTAACCTTTTAATATTCTTCTTTCTGGATTAACTTCTCTAATTCGGATTTTTTCTAACTGCTGTTCATAGCGTTGAGTATGAGATACAACATTTGCCGTATATAAAATACTATATAAAAAAGATAGTAGCTTTGGTTTACGACACAAAGAACTCATCATGTGCGTTAACCAAATATTTACTCCAGGAAACACGATATTTAATATAACTGACATAAAAAATATGGATATTTTAACTACTCGAGTTATATCAAAGTTTTTTTCTGTTAATCCTCTTTTTTTTCTTTTTTGTGCCACGACCTCATGTTTTTTTTTTAATAAACTATGAATTAATCCCTTAAAGAATTCAAACAAGAAGCTAGGAAATCCCTTCTGATAGTCTTCTAAAGAATCTGGTTCCTCGAGTTTTTTTTTATTTTCTCGTATCTCATTGCGTGATCTCCATATTTTGATTCCTAATGCCTCTCCAATTTTTGACGATGTACTTTCAGTAAAATTATAGCATTGATTCTTAATTTTCATAACATTGATATTTTTTAATCTTAGAGCGACTTTGATATATAAAAGACTTGGTGATTTCTTAGAACACGATGTTTCATCAAATGCTAATACTGTTGTGGTTAAATGCGCTAAGAGTTTTTTTTTATATTCATCTACAGTTGATTCTGAAATGTTTAAAATCCAATTTCCTAAGAGTTTAAGAGACTCAGTGGCATCATGATTATGCCTATTCACACATGAAAAAGGAATTTTGTTGCCTCGCTTATTCCTTTCAAAAAAATGCCCTCCTTCAGAATTAAAACATTCTGAACATACATAGCGAGGCCGGTATTCATCAGATTTGTCATTAACAGAAATATTCTTTGATTCATCAGGAGGAAAAGCTGAACAATTTTTTAAACCAACGCAAGGTACTTGAACATTGCGATTAGCTATACGTATTGAATGTTGAATACAAGTTTCTCCACGGCTAAAAAAAAACTTATACTTATTGCAAAGTAAGCAACGTCGATGAGAAATCCAACTTTTTTCAATACTACGTTGTTTTTTAATATGTTGTTGGTGAAGTGATTTTTGATCAAACACAAAATGTGCATAACAAACACCTAGAGAATGTAGCTTATTTTCCTCCTTCGCTTTAAGAAACACTTTATCATCTATCTCCCATGTTCCAACTAATTGAGTTAGAGGTCTTTGTCTTTCAGTTTGACTTGCACAGCATTGGATATGACCATCAACCGTGTCTATAAGAACGCAGGATGTTAAACTTTTACTAGAAACATTATCCACTACATATATACTTCCTTCTGTTGATTCAGAATTAAATATTGATATTGAGTCGGTTTCATCATTTTCCACTTCTATGTCTTCCCAGATTAAATCTTCATTTTCATCTGCAGCGGCCATTGCGTATGCTTTTTCAAAACCTATTCTATCCCAGACGAATGAATTCATTTCAATTTCATCTTCGTTCATAGTACTTTCTGTTCTGCAGTTTTCAGATGCCAAACTTTCACTAATAAAACTCGTACTATCATTATCCAACAGGTAGTCATCTTCATTAGAATTAACACATTCATAATTGCTATTGATAAAATTTAGAATGGTCTCATGTGAGCCAGTTTCTTTGTCCATTTTAATGATAATGACAATAGTAGCAAATATTGAATTCTATAACAATAACTTTGAATAATGATAATAACGATAATATATCCAAAATTTATTTCGTCTTTTTTTTTTTTTTAATAAAATCTGTAGAAACTTGTGTTGGGTATGATGATCAATGCGTTGAACTTTTTTTTAAAAAAAAAGGGAAATTTGATAGCGATAACGATAATCTCTGAACATACTTCATAACGATAACGATAATGATACTTAATAATAAAGACAATGTCTATCACTATCGCTATCACTATATATCTTTATATTGATGTTACCGTTATCGTTATTCAATAAAGATGATTTGTAATTTATACTCTTTGAGTTTTGAATGTTCGCCCATTAAAATCATAACGATAAATTTTATGTTGTTCATTTAATTTATTCAGTAACCCCTAGATGTTTTGTATCAATGTCGATACCAATACCGATATCGATAAAATATTTACAAAGAATTTATCGTTATACTTTAACATTAGCAAGGATTTATCATTATTGATTAGCATTTACTAGCGCTAATCTTACTAATCGAGATACCGATATCAAACATATCGAACAACTTAATGTACTTTCAATATGAGTATTACAAAGAGAAAAAAAGAGAAAGCGAGACTTTGGCTTTCAATTATATAATGTACCGGAAAAACTCTTATCAGTGATATAAACGATAATATATAGTTAAACTTCAATTGTATACTATCGTTGTATATCACTGATAAGAGTTGTTCCGGTATGTTATATAATTAAAAGCCCGAATTCTCATGTTCTCTTGGCTTGCTTATATTGACAAAATGCAATTTGTCCATAAAACTATTTAAGTTCCAAATTTTAAACCCAAGTACTATAAACCTTTTACAATGTACTGGATGCTCTGTCTCGTCATCCTTATTGCTATTGGTCAAACTTACAAAATGATCACATGTAAGTCATGTGCATGAGCGTTGTTCTATAACTTTGATCGAAGTTTCTTCAACATTACAACAGTCGTAGAGAAAAATAAAGTGAATAATTCATGAAAGACAGAGTGATGCTATGTTTGTATTTAGTCATGCAAGAAAGGTTAGCATATGATTTGTGAAGCTGTTATTCAAACAAACATTATTTTGCTAAGAGAAAACTGCAAAAATTTGTATGATGATCTTATAATTTGACAATTGCTCATGAATTAACGGACATAATAATTACTATTGTTAATTTGTGACCATTAAATTATCCGAAATGCAATCACATGGTAAGTCATGTGTATGATTTTGGTTAATCGAAGTTTCTTTTATATTACAACACCTATAGAAAAAAATAAAGCGAATAATCAACTAAAGGTAAACCTATATTTCATTTTTATTTAGACATACTGAAAGGTTAGCTTCTAGTTCGTGGAGCTACCATTTAACTAATCATCTATTTGTCTATTAAAAAACCGTAAAATCTGCATGATGATCTTATTAATTTGCAATTGCTTATAAATTATTGGACATAATCTGTGACCG